GGAATTTCTCCTACTCAAATTATACAGTATCTCAAAAAGCATATCAACCAATCATGTTTGAGCCACATGACCTGAATGTGTTTTTTTGCTTAATTATGCGAAGCATATGCGATGCGAAAAAATGGTTGATTATGCGTATAACACCGCATCGCATAATCCTAGACACCCTACATTGTATATACGTATGTACGTGCATATCTTAATTTTACAAGTTTAAACAAGTTGTTCTTAATTTATCATATTTATTTTCGTATGTATTTGGTGTTTTCGAAGGTTGTGTGTAAAAATCACTTATTATTATATATATTCTCCTTCCCGTAAATAATAAAGAATTAAAGAAAAAGAAATAAGATAAAATAACACATCATACAAAAATGCAAATAAATATAATTACAAACGGAATAGTAAACTACAGTAAAATCATAATTTTTGGATACAAAAATTAATGACCCGATATAAATTTTTGCATTCATTCATTAAATATTTAGCATTTTTAATATTTTTTTGTCGGATTCTTTACCGATCTGATGAAATGATAATCACTGATCGTCAAAGACCAAAGCAAAACTTGTTGATCATTTCTGTATTCTCTTTAAGTCACTTGATTACATTTCATATGATAAGTTAATATATATATATTTTTTTCATTATTTCCGTAAATATATATTTTTGTAAAATTATTGGGTAACTTCACTTTAATTTTTTAAAGCAAAATTTAAAATCCTCAAAGTAATAACGTGTTGTTAAATCATTGCGTGTGATTTGAATCACGATGATATAAATCACTGATTTTTATTTTAAATAGATTGAAAGCAGATTTAGATCCTTTGTTATTTCGCTTTGCAAAATGATATAACCTTTGTAGAATACTTGTTATGTTGCATTAGAGATTCTGTAGATTTAGAAATCGCATTTAAAGTCAGAATTCGAATATAAATAATTGAACTAAATAGTAAAGATCAAATATTTTAAATCATTTGTAAATCATTTTTAAATGATTTTTGCTATCCTTACTATGAATTACCAATTTTAAAATAATTAAGCGCATTGATCAATTAACTTTTATTCTTGCCTACCAAACTAAAAACGAACAGATGAGGCAAAGCATTGTGTGACATCAGAATTGACAACTATAGTATCCATTAAACCGTAAAATTTAAACCTAAATATGTCAAATAATAATTCCTTTGCATTACTTTTCATTATACATTTTGTCATATATGCTGTATATGGTCATCTTGATACTCAGCCTTTATTTACTCATCGTCACGTCTAGATAAATATGTTATTATAATGACAGCGCATATAAAATCTATAACACATAAAGTGTGAATATGTAATAATATATGTAAATAAAATCTATAGATGAATTGTCAATGAAAATTAGATGTAAACAAGGGCACAATTTGAAAATGAGCTATAAACGAACTGAGAGTGTCAATATCAAAATAAAGTATGATAAATATAAAAATCATTTAGTAAAAATGATTAAATAAAATTTGTAAATTACCTATAACATCAAGAAAAATTCGTATGTAACAAAAGAATTGTATAAAAGGCTCCCTTTTTTGCTTTGAATTTTTTTTTAAAAAATTAACTCTGATAAAATAATACTAAAATAATACTAAAACAATTCGCAATTCAAAGTCGCAAAAAATTTATGCAAAAACTTACTTTCTCGAGATCTAAACTCATCATAAACAGTTTTCACTCGTTTTTCTGATCATTGTATTATCCTAATATGAATATAAATCAGAATATTACTGCGCAGTCATTGAGAAGAAAACAAAAAATCAACATGATCTCGGTCATATAAATATAGAATGTATTCATTGCAATGCACTTCATTGGCTAGATGAACGACTGGCGCATTCTTCAATGAAAATCCTAAATTTGGTTTATGTTGTCAGCAAGGAAAAATTATACTTCCCCTTCTTAACGATCCCCCCACTTCTTCTTAGACATTTTTTTGAAAGCAGTAATGAGAATTTCGTATAAACATTCGCCAATACAATACTGCACATGCGTTTACATCATTGGGCATCACAATTGATCAAACCGTACTCCAAGGATATGGTCCATACTGCTTTCGTATTAACAGAGAATTATGTCACTTATCTAGCCCACTCATTCCTACTGATAACAATACACCTGCTTATGCACAACTTTATATCTACGATGCTGTATTTGCATATTTAATACAAATGAACCGTAATATCAATTTATCGATACAAACAATGTAAAAAATACAGAACATCTTACGTACTTATCATGCATTTTACCTACTATATCAGCAAGCTCATAAAATTCTTTCTCAAGCTCATACGAATAACACATCTACTGCAGACTTAACTATTTATCTGCATTACAATAATCCGATGGATAGACACTGCTATAATCTTCCAACAGTAGATGAGATAGCTATTATTTTGCTTAGCGATGGATCTGTATCAGAAACAATGTGTGATATAGTTATTCGTCTATGTAGTAACAAGCTTGAACGTATTCATGAAGCTCACCTAGTCTACTTACCATTGTATTATATACTTTTTTTCCTACGTGGTGAACTCGGATAGCATGAAGGATTATGCCGATCATTAGAAGATACTGAAAACAATCAAATCAATGATAAATCAAAATTCCTCGTTTAACACAGAAGGATTTTTTTTCTTTTTACCTTTTTTCATGTCATAATGAATTTTCAATGATCCTTTGAGAAAGTAAATTGTTTCAAGAATTTATAGTTGATACATAGGCTTCTACAGAACAAAATAGATTAAGATTTTTACATAAAAACCAAGGTATACTATATGCTGATCTTTATCAGAGTTTAGCTGATATTGCAAGAAATATTGCAAACGGTGAACTATCACTTAATAATCTTAGACGTCGGGTAATTCTTCTCTCTATATACATTGGTAGCTCATACCACATGTTTGAAATTTATCAGGACTCAATAGCTATTACTCGATTTTATCATCATCCTAATATTTTTGGAATTATGACTGCAAATCCTAAATAGCCTGAAATTGTTAATGAGTTATTATCAAATCAAATATCATCAGATTATCCAGACCTGGTAGCATGTGTATTTGAACTAAAATAGCAATCTCTTCTTCATGATATTAAAAAAAATGATTTTCTTGGTAAAGCTATTGTCCATATCTATATGGTCGAGTTCCAAAAGCGTGGTCTTCCCCATATGTATTTGCTAATCTTTCTTGATAAAGATTCTAAAATAAAAGAACTCGCTGATATAGATAACATAGTAAATGCAGAATTCCCTAATAAAGAAATAGACCCACTACTATTTGATACTATATTGCATTGTATGGTCTATGGTCTCTGTGGTCTTCGTAACCCTCAAGCACCGTGTATGCAAGATGGACAATGCAAATACAACTATCCTAAACCGTTTTGTAATACAACTTCACTAGATACAGATAGATATCCAATTTACATGAGAAGAAACAGTGGACAAGTATTCGATATTGGTAATAAATCTGTTAATAATCGAGATATAGTACTATATAATCTAGCTCTCAGTCGCAAATATAACTATCATATTAATATCAAAATATGTGTATCTATATATGCTGTTAAATATATTCATAAGTATATTTATAAGGGTCATGACCGAACTACAATCCAATTTGGTCAAAATCATGATGAGATCAAGCAATATATTGATGCAAAATATATCAGTTCACCAGAAGCTGTGTGAAGACTTTTAAGTTTCAATATACATGAAGAAATGCCTAACATTGTACAATTAGCACTACATCTTCCAGGAATACACAATGTTGTCTTTGACCCAAATGACGATGCCACCCAAATTCTAGCTATGCTGATCGACAAAAAACTATACTAATAGTTTTCTTTGAAACATGCGAAGCTCTTGAAATCGCCTATTAATACATCTATCAAGAATTTTCCTAACATTTTGTTTAGAACAAATTTACCAAAAAATAGACAGTACGAAAACAAGGATTTGTAATTGGTCAACTATATTTCACTTGTCCATCTGCTGGAGAAAGATTTTATTTACAACTTTTACTTACTGTAGTTCATGGCCCCGCGATCATTCAATCATTTAAAAACTGTTAATGGCATCACCTATTCTATATTTAAAGATGTATATATTGCTTTAGGTTTATTAGAAGACGATAGCAAATGAAAACAATGTCTAGAAGAAGCTGCAATCATACGTAGTGGTGCTCAATTAAGATCACTTTTTGCTACTATATTTATATACTTTACCCCAACTCATCCTCAAAATCTATGGCTACTCTTTTGTAATAGCCTTTGCAACGACCTCTACTATCGACTACGTAATAAATATAATATTCAAAATCTTACTGAATTTCAAATATTTGATCTCAGACTCTTTCTTCTTGACCAAATTCTATATAATTCCAATTATTCTCTTAATATGTTTCCTTTAATGCCTCATTGAGAACATAATTGGGATTATGACCAAAGAAATCATCTTATTTCTGAATACTTAAATTGGAATTATAACAAACTTAAAAAAATGGATTTTTTTTACCTGTAATAGCCATCGTGCAAATTGTTAATTTTCTTCAGATTCTGATTCAAGATACATGTTTCGTTTTAAGGTGTATATTTTTATATGCTGCCATAACTGTGATTTTTAAAAAATGCAAACAGATGCAACAGGATAAAGCTACGTAAAGTTGACCATAGGAAAAAACAGGAGTTCTGAGGTCTAATCCAACATGTTTCACAGATTGACCTTGTGATTTATTTATAGTGATTGCGAAAGCTAAATTAATAAGAAATTGATATCGTTTGAGTCTAAATAGAAGTTCAGAAATTGAAGTTGTAAAAGATATGCGAGAAATAAAAGTTAGATTGCTAGCATGATCTCTAGTCAAGATGTGAGCTTCAATTACATGATTGTCAAGTCTTGTTATAATTAATCTAAAACTGTTGCAAAGACCTTGACGAGGTGCTAGATTTCGCAAAAGTATTATAGAACATCTAATTTTAAGTTTGAGTGATAAAGGTAGTATGCTAGCAGGCTTAAGAGAATTTAGAAATTTACTGGGATAGAGACTGTTAAGATTGTTATTGCCTTTGGAAATTATATTGTCTAAGCTTAAGTACGTTTTTTCGTTTCTGGAGAAGATGTTGAGAATAGTAGTATTGATATCGTCAACATTGGCATTATGAGAAGAGAGTATTATTCGATCTTTAAGGTATTAGTCAATTTGTATATTTTCAATAGAAATATTACAATAGATCGATTTTATAAAAGAGTTTAAATCAGGTTCAATTTTTATATTCTAAGGAATTTCAATGATATTATCTGATTCAAACATGTTTGTACTATTGCCAACCTATATGTAATACAATAGTAAATAAAAATTTATCATAATAGAAAAATTAGATTTGAAAAGTATCAACTAGTCAAATATTTCAACTAAATAACAAACAATATATCACTTATCAAGATATCCTTTAAGTCAGTAACTGAATATGATAGCAATTTGTTTTTTTTAAATAGACCTGCTGGAACTAGAAAAACTTTTTTATACAATACTATTGCTATAAAAATTCGAAATAAACATAAAATTGTAATCTGCGTCGCTTCTTCTGAAATTGCTTCTCTTCTACTTAGTGATGGTTGAACAGCCCACTCAATGTTTAAAATTCCTCTTAATATAACTGACGAATCTTTATGTTCAATTAATAAAATTCTGATCTCGCTGATTTATTACGAAAAATGATACTTATAATTTGGGATGAAATTCCAATGCAAAACCGTAACTGTGCTGAATCAATTGACCGCACTTTACGCAATATCCATGATGATTCACGTCCATTTGGAGGAATTACTGTCCTGTTTGGTGGAGATTTTTATCAAATATTATCTGTTATTCCTAAAGGTTCTCGCGAACAAATTGTGTTAGCATCTTTTCAAAAATCACAGTTATGGCAGCATATAAAAATATACACTATGCCCTGCTATGCAGATACAATCATCAAAATCAAACACGTTAAACGAAACGAAAAAGAAGATGCAAAAGTATATACAGTATAGGCTATCAGAATATACTCAACAGAACGTAAAAACAATGAAATTGAAATGACT